AGAAGGAGAGATGGGGGAAGATAGGTCGTTAGAAGGGTTAAGAAAGAGTGCGACCCTTTTTGAGGCAGAAGAAAAGCATTAAGAGAAACATGCCGTGACTTTATATCATCAGTTACGAGACTTCTCACGATGCCCCCCTCATACCCCGTGGGCAAGCCCCCACGGTTGCGCGGGACCCGGACGCCTCCGATGCGAGGCAATCAGGAAGCGAAGCTGGGCTTGATCCCTCTTGGTAACCCCACACACTTTTTGCAGCGAAGGAAGACGATGTGATATGTTCGGATGGAAAGAAAAAGCTGGGCACCCGACCGGATCCGACCACTAGGGTGAAGGAATAAATCACTAGTAAGGGACTAGAGAGCAGTTTGCAGGAAGCGACAACTTGGTGTGCCTTGCGGGGAAGCTGCAGGCACGGAGAGATGGGATGGTGAAGGTTGCATAGCAGACCGTGTGTGACGGCACACCCTGCAATTCGTCATATGGGGAGAGCTACGACAAAGGCTCAGTTCATGGGGGTTCTATCATGCCAAGATCCAGCTTTCGTTAGATAGAGCAAGTAAAGAGCAAGCATCCGCAGAGTGACATGATGAGGCAAGGAAGCTGCTTGAAACGGAAAGGGTCGGGTTCCTGAGTAAGCGCTTTGTCTTATTGCAGATTGCCGATGGAGCGCTGGAGGGTGCAGAGGTGTTAGGAGGAGTATCTATGCATGCCCACTACGGGGATAGGAACAAGGAACAGATGAGTTAAACCGTTCTGCGTCAGTAGCGTAGAATGTGTACATATGCCTGTTTGATTGGGTGGAAGCAATGAACTGCAGCAGAGGGGAGGGAGGCCGGCAGAGGGTGAAGCGAAAACAAGGTGAATCGGTGGCGGCTCACTGCATACTGATCACTTCTCACTAATTGCAACCACTTGTTTCGACTTCGGGCTGTATGGGGTCCTGGAATAGTGATTGCCATTCGCTTTTTCTATTGCCTGATAGCGCTACTGATCACTCGGCCAACTGCGAAGAGGCCTATGCCAGCTATCGCTTGTGAATACCATATGTATCCATGGGTACGTAGAGGCGACACTTGGTTAAGCGGTTGCAAGAGGGCTCTCGCCTGTTGGCGAAGCGCAACGCTCATTCATCCCTCAACTGGTGTGACCTCGAGCGTTGCATTCGAGGAGAGGATGGTCGGTTGGTTCATATGAACACCGGCACTGAGTCAAACGAGGGCGCGCGCAGGTGTGCTTCCTTTGCTCGAATGCGGCGTGCCGAGGCGGAGGCGGCGGCTTGCATGCGGGATGTCGCAAAAGAGAAGTCGGAGGCATTCGGCCCGAAGGTGTAGTGTTGGCTGCTGGACGCTTGGAGGAGGAAGAGCAGGAGGGTCTTTTCACTCACTCCCTGTTCTCTCCTTTAGTCTCAGCAGGTCCCTTCGAAGGAGAAGGGAAGAAGGAAATGCGTAAATGAAAATGGAACAGTGCCAAGAAACGCGCGAGGTGGATCTCATCACAGCGAGATGCTTGGCGTTGAGAGTTAGACATGGTTCCTCAAAATTTCTTGCGGCGTGGGCGCAATTGATCTTGCCACGTGGCAGCCAGCCATTTGATCGTATGTCTTCATTGGTTCTTCTATGCATGGAACCAATGTGAGTCGTTATGGCTCGGCGCCTAGTTTGTTGGAAGAAATGCTCATATCGCGGCCTTTGCAAGAAATCGGTGCGGAATGCGGATACGTCAGCCGTCGAGCTCTCCATATAAATACTTGTCAAGTCGTTTGGGTATAGGGCAAGGAGCACCTTTCAAAGCTCGACTGCTCGTCGCCCACTGCTCAGTGACTTACTTGCTTTCGTGTGCCCATGCCAGTGTTTAGGACAACATCATACGAAAGAGTGTGGACACCGTCTTTGCCTGCTTGCAACCCTACCTTGGTCTCGCTTGAGTTGAACTTAGGGTTGTGTCATACCACGTGCAACCATGCGCGTGCCAGCAGATGATTGAATTCAGCGGATTAACACAACCCTCCCCCTAATGGACTCAATGATGGTGGTGATGTTGTCCATCACTGCCTCTCTTCAACACCATCCCTCAAGCGCATAGAGAACACAGTCCACAGATATTTATGGACGTGCGTATAGCCTGAGAAAACAGAGGCTCCCGCTGGTGCGCACATCATGGAGCAAGGGTTCCAACACGTGGCAGCGGGCCTCGCTGACGCTGACGCCGATGCCATGCCGCAAGCGCAGCCCGCGGCAGCAACGGCGGTCGCTAACGGTGACCTGACGTCGCCCACGTCGTCATCTATCGCAAACACATCAAAGAATCCCTTCCTGGCATCGAATTCGAGTATGAATACGAGTGCGAATAACATGCTGCCTCTATCACACTCTCTAGGGGCAGGCGGAGCAGGGCCAGCAGGGAGCTCATCGTCATCAAAGCATGCTCAGCGCTTGCAGCTCATCGACGAGGCGCAACAGTTCCACCCGCAGATGACTGCCTATCTCGAGTCATGGGGCCTGCACAACGTCGGCTTCGGCTACGATCTCTGCGCCGTGCTCGGCAGCCAATCGACTGGCAAGTCGACGCTGCTGAACAAGCTCTTCGGCACCAACTTTGACGTCATGGACGAGACCCAGCGAAGGCAAACGACCAAGGGCATCTGGCTCTCCCGCGGCGCCAACATGCCCGTCCTGGTCATGGATGTTGAAGGCACCGATGGAAGGGAGAGGGGCGAAGACCAGGATTTTGAACGAAAGTCCGCCTTGTTCAGTATGGCCAGTGCCGAAGTGCTCATCGTCAACATGTGGGAGCACCAGGTCGGCCTGTATCAAGGCGCCAACATGGGCCTCCTCAAGACCGTTTTCGAGGTCAACCTCGGACTTTTCCAGTCGAGCAAGCAAAAGAAGTGAGCTCATGGGCCCGGGGCTGCGATCTCATGCCTACGGACTGATCACGTCTGGCTCCTTAAGCTCTGGGCTGAAGGACAAGACTTTGCTGTTGTTTGTCATTCGCGATCACATTGGCGCTACGCCATTGCAGAACCTTCAAAACACGCTATTGGCTGACCTTGGTCGCATCTGGGAGTCTCTCGCAAAGGTGCGTAGCTTGTGCTCCTAGTTTCAGACTTTCCCTTGCTTAGAATCAATTCCTGCTCCGCTCGCAGCCTGAGGGGATGGAATCGTCGAACATCACAGAATTTTTTGATTTTTCCTTCACGACGCTCCCGCACAAGCTCCTGCAGCCGAAAGAGTTCGACGACCAGGTGCTCGCTCTGCGACAACGCTTCACTGACTCGAAACACCCGGGCTTTATCTTCAAGACGCAATACCACAAGCGCATCCCTGCTGATGGGCTGCCGCACTACCTCGCAAACATCTGGGAGCAAGTCGTCTCGAACAAAGACCTCGACTTGCCGACGCAGCAGGAGCTGCTTGCGCAATTCCGGTGCGATGAGATCGCTAACGTAGCATTCGCCCAGTTCACCTCCGACATCCGTGCCTTCCGCCGGCCCATCGAGGCGGGCGAAGTGCTGGAGACCCTCGGCGGCGACATGGCCGCGCACTGCCAGACAGCTCTGGCGGTGTTCGACAAGGACGCGTCGCGCTACCACTCTGAAGTGTACAAGCGCAAACGCCAGGAGCTGCTCGACAAGTTGCACAGTGCGCTGTCGCCATTTGTGCTTGGCCAGCTGAAGAATCTGCACAAGCGTGTCCTGGCGCACTTCAAACGTACTCTACTCGAGAATCTGCGTGGAGACGGGCACGACTTTGGCGAAGTAGTGCGCGTTGAGCGCGCCAAGGCCGAGACGGCGTTCGCGGCCGCCGCAGCGCTGCTTATGCTCGACGGGACCGACTGGAACACAGCGGAGGAGGAGGCGCAGCTGCGCGAGGACATCCAGCAGATCGCGGACCAGTGCAGGGTGGAGGAGACGAAGAAGATGATCGTCCTCATCGAGCGGAGCATCAAGCGCGCTGTCGCGGAGCCAACTGAGATTGCTCTGGGCAAGCCCGGACCCGAGATGTGGGATCATGTACTAGAGGGGTTCCGCCATGCGCTGCAGCAGGCCGAGGCGGCGTACATGCAAAAAGCGAAGAGTGCGTCGTGGTGGCACCGAGCAGAAACTGTCGCTTCCATTTAGCTTTCCGATTGTGTTTGTTGACCACCCTCGCTCGCTCATCCTCACCCCGATCTCACAGGCTTCAATTGCACCGAGGAGGAGAACAGCATCGCTCTCCGCTCCCTGCGGCAGAAGGCATGGCAGAGTCTACGCGCCAAAGTCGACGAGATAACCGCCGATTCTATCCTCGCGGCCCGCTTGCGCAACATTTTCGAGGATGGATTCCGCTACGATGAATACGGCACCCCGAGGATCTGGAAGCCTGAGGATGATATTGATGGGATCTTTCGCAAGGCTCGGGATGAGGTGAGCCTCGAGATAGAAACGACTTGATCCGATCGGTTTGCTGACGCCTTTCTTGTCTTCTCAGACTCTCGAGCTCATACCGATCTACGCACGGATCGAGCCAAAGGACGAGTCGCTCCTGCCGAGCATCCCATCTTCCGCTGACGACCCGGAGCAGGCAGCGGCTGTAGCACGCGGCGAGGAAGATGAGTTCAACTTTGGCGCCTCGCTCGTTGTCTTCTCCGAGACGCGCAAAGCCGATATCGGTACGCGCTTCCGCAAGGAAGCCGACGCGTATTACGTCGAGGCGAAGCGCAGCACTGTCTCGAGTATCGCGCAGGTGCCGTACTGGATCTACGGCGTCATGCTCCTGCTGGGCTGGAACGAGATCATCGCCGTCATCCGGTCGCCGATGTACTTCACCTTCCTGCTCCTCTGCGCTGGCGCAGCGTACGTCGTCTGGCGTCTCAACCTGCAGGGCCCGTTGCAGGCGGTCGTCACGGCTATCCTTCGAGAGGTGCATCGTCTCGCGGACGAGCAGCTCCGCGCGCACTTTTCGCAGCCCCTACTACAGCCGAGTATGCTCAAGGAAGAACCTGTACCCGCCAGCCTTTCTCGGCCCACTCCATCAGAAGCCGCGCCAGAAGAGATCGAGCTTAAGGAGAAAATCTTATGAGCGCCATTTACGCCGGGAGTGTTCAAAGTAAGCTCATTTGGGGGTTTCTGGGAGTAATTAATATCGCTTAGCCAAAGGCTGGTCTTTTCTAATTACAATTCGTCGATGATGTGACGCGCGGCCTTTGTGGTGTCTGCCAAGACGGAAGATGCGTGCTCCACAAAGCCTTCAGGGCCCGGTGTCCCTCCGGCCGCGCTGACGACGGATCGTGTTGCGCTGTGCAGCGACTCACTCGCATTGTATTCCAGCGAAGAGGCTGAGTCTTTTGCTGCATCGGTCAGTGATGACGAACCGGAGGCGGCAGCCTCGGGCGCAGAGTCTACGATCGATATGACTTCTTCATAGATGGACGAACCGAGGGAGTCGACAGCTTCAGTTGCCGCTACAAACGTACGCGAGTCCGTCGCTGTCACTTTTTCGACTCCGAATGAGATGGTGTCTAACGGGTCGTCAACAATGCTGGCGCTTTGCTTCACTGATGTTGTTGCCGCGTTGAAAGCGCCGGTGACAGAGACAGAAGCATCAGCTGCGGCAGTTGCAGCTGCGTCCGCATATTTTGAGGCGGACGTGGTCGCAGCGTTGAATGCGCTTTCCGCTGAAGAGGCCACGTCGGCTGCCGTGCTGCGGACTGCATTCTCTGGCTGCTTGACGGACGTTGTTGCAGCATTGAACGTATTTTCCACTGACGCAAAGATACCCGCTGCCATGTTCTGAACAGCATCAACGGGCTGGTTGACAGATGTGGTAGCAGCGTTGAATACGCCCTCTGCCGAGGGCGCGGCGTGAGCAGCCATGCTCCAGACCGCATTTGCCGGCTGCTTCACCGAAGTCGTAGCGGCATTGAAAGCGTCCTTCGTCGACTCCGTAGCGTCCGCGAGCGGTGAGCTCACAGCGCGACTGTTCTCCGAAACCGAAGTGGTCGCGGCGTGGTATACATCCTCGACGGCATCTTCAGCCTTGTCGAGCGCATCGCCGACGGTAGAAGAGACAGCTGCCGCGACGGAGCCTGCGTTGCTTCTGATACTGGCTGTCTTTGCTTCAGCAGAGCTTGCAGCGTTCGAAAAGGCCTTGCGGGCAACCAGCTCCATTTCGTCGATAAGGCCAAGCTTCTTGCGTGCGGACGAGACGGTATCAGTCAGCGATACGAGCACATCGACGCTAAATCTGGACGCTACATCGGCGATGTTGTCCGTCACGTCGGCGACGGGTAACCGATGACCCTCGCCTTTAAGCTCCGACAGCGCTGCGTTCGTGTAGTTGCGGATCTCGCGCGCAGCATCGTCGTACAGGCGCCTGGATCGCCTGACAAGTTCGTTGATGATTGTGGGGACCTGTGAGTAAGTGCAGCAGCGTCAGAATCCAAGGAGTGAATCGGAGAAAGTAAAGTTTCGGGCCAATGGACGACTAACATCGGGCTCCTTCTTGAGGTTTATTCCGAGTCCAGACTTGACGGGCCTCTCGCCTTTCTGCACGCCGAGCAGCTCCTCACGATACATGTTGGCCCGGACTTTGAGGCCCGCGTCCCATCCTTCCCAATCGTCTACGTTCTCGTGGTATTCGGTCTTGCCCATCGTCGATTCGAAGCTCTTGATGGCCGCATCGACGTAGCGATCGATCTCATCGGCGCTCGCGTGCGCCGCTGAGACCTCAGTGTTCACGAGCTTGCCCTTGAGCGCCGCCAGCCCTGAGCGCAGTTTGGCTGAGTCGGAGAACAGCTTGGACTCCTCCTTGGCGATGAGCTGTTGCGCCGCTGCGAGACGCTCGTCCAGAGGACGTGCGTCACGCTCGAGCGCGAGACGCTTGAAGCCGCGTTCGAGGCGCACAAGCGCGACACCCGCTTCCTCGTCGACGAATGCATCGACGAGAGCTGCAAATTGCTGCGGCAGCTCTGCTACCTGATGGTTCCGGGCTTGGGCGACGCGCTCAGTCCACAGTTTGAACTCCTTGCGGATGAGCTCGCCAAGTCCCGTCTCCCATAACTCCAGCTTCTCGGTCAGCACAGCCGATTCAGCTTCGACCCTTACCGCACGCTCGGCGGCCACGGCCGTGTCGTCCGACTGCTCTTTGCCATGCACTGCTTCGGAGGTCTTGGACAGCCGGCCAAGGACGCTATGGTCGTCCCGGGCTTGCTTGGCTTTCTTGACGGCGCCCTCAACCTTCTTGACCTTTTCGCTCTCGTAAGACTGGCCAGTGCCCACTGCGTCAGCCTGCAAGCGCGTCGCGTCGATGACCTCATCGGTCATCTGTCTGACCCTGGCGTTCCATAATTTTGCCAGAAGCTTGTCCACCTGCGGCCGGATTAATGCGGCATAGAAGCGGTAGATTGCCGGAGAAGCATGGTCGACGTAGAAGCGGTAACTATGTTTGGACAGTGTGATAATCTGCGGGTAAACTTGTTCGAGGTAAAAAGTCGATGAGACAGCCACAGACCGGACGACCAGATCATAGGAAGTCTGCACGTGCGGGTGAACGTCGCGCCAGCTACGTCACGGAAAGCATCGTCAGTCCGGGGTGTGACATCGAAGGTGCAATGAATCCGAGCATGTATTCACTAGATGTCATGGTATGGTTGGATTGTGCGTTGTGCCGCTTTGTCGGTGGCAGAGACAGTCGTATGTGTGGTTAGCACATCTGAGCTGTCTGAGCGGGTCGTGGACTCACTGAAAATCCGGGGCTGGACATGCGTCTCGTACTGTTTCTGCACCTTGCTGATGTGCGGATCAGCAAACCCCCTTGTCCTTCGCAATGCCTGCTTCTGCATTGGCAGCACGTGCTTCTTGTACAAATGTGTACCAGTCCACTGAGCGTACAGAGCGACCGGCTTGGCATGCTTGTACGCCGTCTTGACATATGGCCGAACGATGCGGACATACGGCTCGGCTTTGGCCTCCAGCTTGTGCACGTACGGAAGAACGAGCGGCTGCAGCTGCAGCTTGGTCTGCGCTAGGGTACGACAGACGACACGGTGATCGTTCGTAGCGTAATCGAATGCGAAGGGGCGCGAGGAGCAGTTCCACACCGCCGCGATGAGTGTGTAGAAGAACGCGACCCGAAAAAGGAAGGCGAAGAGGGTGCCTTTGACAGAGGCCTTGCGCTTGGTCGCACCACCTCGTTCCTTCTTTCTGCTGCTGCTGCCGCCGCCGGCAGAGCTGATCTCTTTGGCGGAGGAGCGTACCACGCCGCGAGGCATATCCGAGTTAGCGGGTGTCCGTGCCTCGTCCGCCCCAAAGCGCACCGGTGGAGTGGGCACGTTGGGCTGGCGTGAGGGCTGCGGCGGTGCGTAGCGCGAAGCCATCTTGTTGAATGCAATGCGTTGTCCAGCGATGAGGTTGCCTCTCGCCTCTCGGGGGCAACGTCTCGGCAAGCTGCACTGTGGCAACTGCTGCAGCTATATCAACGATCGACGATCAACATGGCACGGCTTGCCGTGGCTCGCATTGGGATAGTCACATAAGCGCATTAAAAATGGAGATGAATAACTACGACACACCACCCACCCATACCCTCGCGCTCTCTCTCGCTCTGCATTACTCCACGCAGTGTGCCACAGTCACTGGACAGCTGATAAGCGAGTGGAAGACACAGGCGCTGCGTGAGCTGTTGATGCGCGCAACCCTACAATGTGACGACCGCCCAATCCCATTTTGCACCGGATCAAAACTGCCACTCTACAGAAGGTGGGGGGGGGGACAAGGTGGGGGGAGAGGGGGCGCATCACCTGGCCTATTGTTGGGTTAGACGAGTGCTTATGGCCCTATGGTCCGTGTAAACAGAAAGAGGCTTGGAGCACCAACATGCCCACCAATCATTCGGGTTGATCGCCTTTCAAAGTAGAGCAACGAATAAGCAGATGTCGAAGTAGGTGTAGAGTATTACCTGTTTTCACCCTTGCAGAACGTTGGGATACACATGGAATTGGCGTTGCGTCATGATCGGGATACCCGACCTGGCCTCGTCTACCACTTTTGGATCCAGCGTCCACTTGACAATTCCTTCCTTCTCATCTGTCGTCGCGACCACCTGGGCCCATGGGTCGACGATGGTGCTATGTCCGTACGTCGGATACGCGCCGTCGTCGCTCCCGACGATTTTGTGCAGCCCGTCCTTGCTTGTCGTGCTCTTCTCGCTCGGCCGGGCAGGCGAGCACGTCGCGACGTAGATCTGATTGTCAGTCGCGCGTGCGCGCTGCAGCAGCTCCCAGTGTCGCGGACCCGTGGTAGTGTTGAATGCGCCTGGGTAGAGCATGGCGCCTGCCCCGAGGCGGGCAGCGATCTGAGCTAGCTCCGGGAAGCGCATATCATAACAGATCGCAAGGCCGAAGCGCCCGAATGCACAGTCGAACACTGTCACCCGGTCGCCTGCGGTCAGCGTTTCCGACTCTTTGAAAACCATCTTCCCAGGGATGTTGATATCAAAGAGGTGAATCTTGCGGAACATGGAGATGAGCCGTCCTGAAGAGCGGGCACACCAGTGACAAGCCTTGTCAGCCGAGGCTGAGGAAAGGCCAGGCCCTTGAAGCCAGACAGCCAGACGTACCTTCTTGATCGAATACCATGCTCGTGTTGTACAGCTTGCCACTGACATCGTCACGCTCTGGAATCGAACCGCCAACAAGGACGACGGACGCCTCTTTTGCGACCTCGCTGAGCATCTTAACGCTCTCGCTCTGTGTTGCAATCTGGCTGACGTCAATCGGGCCTCCTGCTCCAGCCTTTCCGTCCTGCTTGCTGCTTTCCACTCCGTCAATCGTCCACCTTGCCTCCTCCTGGCCAGGCGGCACCCTAGTAAGCGCAGGCGGTAGCCGCTTCTTGATCTTCTCCCACAGGCCACCGAGGCTCTCGGCATACGTCGGGAAGTGGTTGACGCCATAGGGAGAGTTAAAGCATTCGGGAAGGACGACCATATCTGCGCCACCGTCCTCCTTGGCGGCGCGCAGGACGGCTTCTCGCGCTCGAAGCAGGTTCAGAGACTTGGTGAGCGAATTCTGGCCGAGCTGAATGAGGGCGAGCCGCGTAGACCGCAGCGAGAGCGTCGGTGCTTTCGACATGGCGGAGTTCGGCAATGAGGCTCACAGTGCACAGAACCCTTCGTTACACTTGCTGAGGCTTTCGACCTCGCAATATTGACATACGCTTCGCCGCCGCGAACGCAAAAACCTTAACACATCGAGGCGTCATGAAGAGTGGTGAGAGCGTTTCGCATCTTGCGCACGAAGCAAGCCCCCGCAAGCGAAGTTGCAGGCCAAACCCCGGGGAGTCCCCTTCGGCTCTGGTCGGACTCCCCGGAATTCGAGCCGAATGCGACGCGAATGAGCGCGACGCGTTTAACTACGGCCAAAGTACGCCTCGTACATAGCCTATACCATTCACCACAGCTCTCCTGTCCGTGTCAACGTCAGGTCGCCGTGGGTATGATTCCTTGCATGACGCCGTGCCGGCAGCATCACTCATTGTGCCTCGCAACCATGAAGGCTTTAGCGGGTGACGAAGACACGTTCATGAAGGAGTTGCTGGAAGGTATCGACGATAATACCCTCGCCTCATCCCAATCGACACCGCCACTTCGTCCGAGTCAGAAGGCGAATGCACTGCCGAAGCACAGCTCTTTCCCTCTGACGAAGTCCCGCAATACCTACCCGAATTATAGCGCTCTGCCATCAGGTGACAAGGGGCCGGTGCACCACGCTAAGCTGTCCCAGCACGCGCAGGTGGCAGCGCGCAAGCGCAAAGCAGAGGGTGATGTTAAGCAATTGCTGGATGGCCTAAATGATGATGCATTTCTCGACAGCGCGCCAGAACGCAAACGATCTCCGGAGCAGAGACCGTCGCAGTATGTACATGCGCCAGTGCAGGCCGGAAAAATCGCACGCGCTGAAAGCAGCACCGCAAACACGACTCCGAAAGGCGCGCACCGCCCTATGACTTCTTTCATGTCAAAGCCAACGCTGTCGCTAGGCACAGGAGGTCGCAGCCAGACTAGTCCCTCGTATTGCAGAAAACCCGAAGAAATTTATTCGCGGCGTTCAGCCTCTCACGTAGAAGGCAATCAAGCGACAAGCGTGGAAGAAGCTACAACTGCGAATCAGCCACCTCGAAAAGTCTGGGAAGCGAAAATGAGTCCTGCAGGCAAGGGAGAAGTTAAGGCATACCATGGATGGCCACTTTTAGACATGTCTCAAGAGGTATTTTTTTTACTGCTGTGCCATCTTTGCGGGCAGTTCTGACGCACACGCTGACGTATCTTGCTTTCTTCTAGGCCGTGGCCCACCGCCAAGAGTCCCGTTTGAAAGCCCGAGCGTACCTACGAGCCACCGTAAAGCACGCCTTCGATAAAATGGATGCAATTGACGGCGCGCTTGGCCACAGCGGCAAAGAACGGCTGCTAGTCATTAAGTGCTCGCCAGATGACAGCCCTGTGCGTTTATCATCTTTGCCACCTGGACTGTCGCATTCTTCCTCGAGCTCGTCTCTAACTCCGCCAGGTGAAACGAGGGTTGTGCACTTGCGCGATGAGTGGTCCGAGACGGACATCAGAGAAGGAGATATCATAAATCTCATTGGCTCATGGACAGAGACAACACAGTCTATCTACGGAGACCTTCTTTCAATGGACGGCACTGGCACGGCGGCAGCACCTACGGTCACAAGACCTACGCATTTGAACGTCGAGTTGGAACATCAAACAAGTGACCCAGCTGACATGGAAGATGATGATCTCTGGGACGGGTTCGGCTCTCAAGATCTACCATCTACCTCTCAAATATCGGCAGTCGCAAGCAACAAAACACCCGGAGCTGCTCAGAGCAGCGCACAATCGCGCACGATTCTGACCATGATAATCTCATCATCACCTACCGACATTCACAACCTACTCATCCACCATCCCGACTTGCTTGTTCCGGTCACAAAGGTCGCAGATGGCGCAAGCTGCTCGCGCCGCTCGGTGATTCAGGATAAGTTACGTGCGACGGGAGAATTGTCGAGGGGCATGCTTTTTGGAAACATGCTGCACGAGGTCTTGCAAGCATGTCTCACAGGAGAAGACGAAATGCGTCAAGAAGGAAAGCTATCAACCCTTCCCTCGCGCACGTCAGCAACGAGCGCAACGTCAGCGGAATGGGAAGAAATGATGGCACACCCACTCGTCGGATGGCCAGAGACGTGGCCGTACCTGGGTGACTTCTCAGCCACTTTCGTCAAAGAGAGAGTCAAAGAGCAAGTCAAGGTCAATCTCGAAAACCTCTTTGCGCTTGACATCAATACGTCGGATGCGTACGTCGACCTTATCAACTCCGTCAAACCATTCGCTGCGTTCGGCCAGACGTACTTGTCGACACGGAAATCATATCCGGTTGCACCTTTTACCGAAAATATCAATGTGAGTGACTTGTAGTCAGGTTGTTTGGGTCTGTGAAATTGAAAGGCGATATTGGAGCCCCGCAGCCGGAGGCTACGCTGGTTGACTCTCGATCTGCAGGGAACGTGACGCTTCGGATACATCGAGTCCTGGACGTTGAAGAAGACATTTGGAGCCCAATGTACGGCCTTAAGGGTAAGGTCGACGTTAGCGCTGAGGTCGAAATTTACGAGCCGGATTTGGACAAGCCGCTCAGGTCGGTGTCTGCCAATGGGTTTTTCGTCAGAGGGCGACAGCAGCAGCTCAACCCTGCTTATCGAAGCAACAGTCACAGCGGGTGTGCAACGTCGTCAGCCAAGATGCCCATCGGGAAGACTTTGATGGTGGTGCCTCTCGAGATCAAGACCGGAAAGGCGGTGCAAGCACTTGAGCACCGGGCGCAGACTATGCTATACACTTTACTCATGAGCGATCGGTATGGTGAGTGTTTTGGTCACAGTCACTACTACCAAATCAGAGACTGACTCATTTTTCACGCATGCAGGTACGAATATTGACGCAGGACTTCTGTATTACTCTAAAACGAGCACCTTGCACCGAGTACGTCGTGCACTGCACGAGATCCGCAGCCTGCTCAGGTCCCGCAACGAGATTGCCAACTACCTCTCTCGTTCATCCAAAGTAGGCCAGTCCGATCCGACACATCCTATCACCGCCCCTCACCAAGCTGAATTGCTTCCTTCGCCGATCGATGAGGTGCGCAGATGTGCAAGATGTTTCGCTGCCGATGGTTGCACTCTCTACCGTCGAGCACATGCCCTGCCCCCTCCCGAAGAGCCAGAGATCGAGGAGCTACTCGAGAAAAAGACAGGCCATCTCAAGGAGTCGGACTACAGCTTCTTCAGGACATGGGACAAGCTGGTCACACTCGAAGAAGGCGATCTGGTCAAGCATCGTCGAGAGTTATGGACGATGACCGCGGGCGCCCGAGAAGAGGCTGGCAAATGCTTTGCGAACATGCGTCTACTTCCAGAGTCAATTGGCAAAGTCACCGCGAACATCAAAGGTGTCAACAAATATTCGTACGTCTTTGGCAAAGCTTCGTCGTCGCGCGCAAGCTCGCCCTTGATGAGCGGGCATCTCAACTCAAATGATCCGGTTACGATCTCAATCGAGCCTTCTCTATTGTCCCTCGCTCAGGGTTTCATCACAACCCTGACACCGGACACTGTCACCGTCGGTATGGACCATTCGCTCGACGCGGCGCTGCAAAGAGCTGTAGAAGAAGGATTAGGGGATGGTGCAAGCGTGCGCTTCCGGATTGACCGTGACGAGTTGTTTGCAGGAGTGGGCAAGATCCGCATGAACATTGCCAAGCTACTCTTCTCTGGAACGGACGCAGACGAGCGGCGCCGACAGGTGATCGTGGATTTGTCTGCTCCAGTCTTTGGCGCCGATGACCTTCCAAACGATTTGCCGGAGTCACTCAACACCGATCAGCGCGCTGCTGTAGGCAAAGTGCTTGCTGCGGAGGACTACGCTCTCATCTTGGGCATGCCGGGCTCTGGAAAGACGACTACAATTGCGGAACTGATCAAGATGCTCGTGAAACGCGGCAAGACGATCTTACTTACGAGTTACACGCACAGCGCTGTTGACACGATCATGCGAAAATTGCTGGAAGCGCCAGAGACTCGGCTGCTGCGACTAGGGAATGCGAGCAAGACACATCCGGACCTGCAGCCGTATACATCTGATGCAATTGGTGCAGTCGGCACAGTCGCCATGTTGGAGACATCGCTTATGGGTGCAAATGTCGTTGGTACCACGTGTCTCTCCCTCGGGCATGTCATCTTCAGCCGCCGTCGCTTCGACTACTGCGTCGTCGATGAAGCATCGCAGGTCACGCTGCCGACTTGCTTGGGACCGTTGAGGTTTGCAGATAAGTTCATCCTCGTCGGTGACCACTTCCAACTCCCTCCTCTCGTGCGCAATCCTGCCGCTCGTGACGGTGGTCTGGAAGTCAGCCTTTTCAAGCGGCTCAGCGACGCGCATCCGAGCGCCGTGGCTAGCTTGACAGCGCAGTACCGCATGAACGCAGACATCATGGCGCTGAGCAACAAACTGATTTACTCAGGGCGGCTTCGATGCGGCAGCGAAGAGGTCGCGAATCAGGTGCTAGAGCTGCCTACTTTTGGACGCGCCATGGCTCTGCTGCATGGTGCTGGTCAGGGCCACCCGCTTGGTGGCAATGCAGCCAGCAGCTCATCCGAAACCGAGGCGTCGGTGGGTTCGTCCGAATGCCCAGGCGGAGCATCGTGCTGGCTAGCAAGCGCGCTGGATCCGCAACGGAAGGCCTGCTTCCTGGACACGGACCTTCTCGGTGCCAGTGCGCGCGAATCGCGACAGGGCGACTTAGTCCAAAACGTAAGCGAAGCTTCGATCCTCGCGAGCATCGTCGAAGGCTTGCTTTTGTCGGGCGTGAAGGCGAAGGACATTGTGATAATCACGCCGTACCGCCAGCAGATCAAGCTACTCGCGCAGGCGCTGCTGCGCCTTGCGCAGGCTCAGCTGACCGCAGCCGCAGTAGACGTTGAGATCCTCACGGCGGACCGAGCACAGGGGCGCGACAAAGCGGTAGGGCTCGTCTCACTCGTGCGCTCGAACGCCGAGTCGTCCGTCGGGCGGCTGCTGGGCGACTGGCGCCGCATCAACGTCGCATTCACGCGTGCGCAGAAGAAGCTGCTCATCATTGGCAGCCAGAACACGCTCGGCGCCATGCCGATCTTTCGCGATTTCTTCCAGCTGGTCAACGAGCGCGGCTGGGTGTACGCGCTCCCGCGGGGAGCGGGCGAGGAGCGTGACCATGTGCTCAGGAGCGGGACGCAGGGCCAGGGGAAGGGCCCTGTGGAGAGAAAGTTAGTGCTGTGCTAGCTCTACACCAAGCAGTGTACAGGCACTGCAGATTCGAATTCTAGCTGTCTCCTTCAATCAGATATATCCACAATCGAGGCTACATCTTTACAGGTAACTGTTTTTGTCTTTGCCCCACTAGGTCGTTTATCATCCTTGCCGGCAAAGCAAGACGCAGGTGCATGACTCGTGCTCGAGCTTTCGCGTCGTTGGCCTAGTCACAAGAGCTCGAGCTTAAAGTGGGCGACAATTTCCTGAGCTGCGTCCGCCATGCATCTCGCGGAGTATGCGTCCTCCTCGTCGCCGCGGATTGCAAAGCCGTGCTTGACGTGAGGGTAGTAAACCCATTTCGAAAAGACGTGCTTCTCCTTTGCCAGCCTGTTGGTCGTCTCCTTGGTTTTCGCATATAGCTCCTCGGTCCATTGGTGGTCGTGCTCGGGTGTGATGTACAGTCCGGGCTTGATAACGGTCTCAAAGTCTTCCGCCTGAACGAGACTGCCGTGTGCGAAAGCGATGGCGTCGACGGGCTGCTGCGTCTTGCTGCTGCCCGCGTGAAGGCAAGATGGCGCACCCCAGCAGTAACCGACGGCGCCGAACTTGGCATTGGGGTGCTTGCTGCGCAGCTCGGCAAGCACCTTGTCGACCTTCTCCCACCCCGCCTCGCGCGGGTGGTGCGAGGCGACATACTCGCTGATGTTGAGCTTCTCCATGGCTTCCGGTGTCGGGCAGTACCTGATAAGGTCTTCGCCGCCGAGGAAGTCGGGCAGGTACACCTTCACGCTGCTGCCGGAGGAGGAGAGCTCCGAGGCATACTTGTCGCAGAGGATCTTGTTGTTGTTGAGGGAGATGCCGAATACGTCGGCCACGAAGAGGATGACGGCCTTGACTTCGGCATCAGACCCGCTGCCGCCCGAGGCAACATACGTCTCGAGACCGGCGACGGTCGATAGTGTGCCCGTGGGCGTTCCATTGTGGAGGTGGCTCTGTGATGGGGGG